GACGAACCAACCGTTGTCCAATGTAGCTGCCACGGCTTCGGTGGCATACAGTGCTTTCACGGCAGAACCACTTTTTCTATCATACGAGGGGCACCCTGGTTTAGAGAAGATTCTCAATTTCTAGAAAGGGCCATGATGAATTTTCTATGAACGTTCTATTAATGTTGCGTGGTGAGAGTAAACCATCAGGGCAAGCAGCAAGGTGGGTTGCAAAGTTTGAAGATGCTGCCAACCGAATCCAATGTTGGCTGGCTAGTTCACCCCCCAAGTGATAGGGCATTGTAAAGAATCAGGGCACCTGGCACCTGGTCAGCCTTCGTTTTGGGAGTGCTACTCCTAGTACTCCGGTGCGCCAAAATGACAGAAAGCCATCAGGGACAGCAATGCACAGGGTGCGGCGGGCTGGAAAGTTTCCAGCTTCTGAAATGCACTGGCTTCAAGCTCAATCCTTGAGTCCTTGCCGGTGAATAGAACCATTGTTGTAGTTGTGTGGCCAGTGGCGACTTTGAGATGGGGCAATGTCATGGCAATGTAAAGGCCTGGATCAGCCCCTAGTTGGATTTGACAATGGGCCCGGGCCACTCTACAAGTACTCTGATGAACTACAAACCAACAGAGTTCGATCGGACCTGTGGGGGTGCAGAACGAAAGATTTACTTGCCGAGCTACAGGCCTAGGCCTAGGCCCTATGAATTTTGGCCCATGGTCCATGGTGAATCCGCTGATAGTTGGCTAGGTCGCCCCAAATCTTTCAGATATGGTCATGTAAAGAGCACGAGGGGCCAAGTCAGCCATTATATTGGGAACACCACAAAGCCAGGCAACCCTAGCAATGCTCGGAGTCGGACGAACTATTATTATTGCTGATGGCTGGATCCATGAACCCATCTGTGGAGCCCCAAAACACGCCATGAAAATGACCAGTCATGCAATGATGTGGCTTGGCACTCTGGACTGAGGATGACCGAGAGGATGAATCGGATGATGAAATTTAGACTTCATTTTGGAACCAGGACTCAGTCTCACTCTATGTTCGGCTGCAAGATGTCCGTCTCAATTCTTTCGATGACTGTGTCAATTGAATTGTGTCTTCGTTCCAAACAGTCCGGCTTTCGCAGGCCGCCTGAACAAGCCAAGCTTGAAGGGGTTGAGGTGGGGTTGGCCAAAGGGCCGTGGCGCTGGCCAAACGGCCATGGGCTTGTGCCGAGAAGTGAGAAGAAACTATTTCATGGGCACTGGATTGAGTGCTTGACATCAAACTGATTGGTTGAGCGGTTGAGTGCTTGATCTCATGGGCACATTCTTTCACATTCCTTCACATTGAGTGCCTGACATCATCTTCCACTCTAGTAGGCATGGCCTCCAAACTGCTGGTGTGCACGACTGACTCAGCGCCAGAAGTGGAGAGCGCACGACTGACTCAGCGCACCGCCAAAGAGTGCAGCAAGTTGTTTCAAGCAGTCGGAGTGGCGAAGATTCTGATATGTGCGCATATTATGTGCATCTATCATAGACCACGAATTGTGCTACAAATTTTTTCCCAGAGACCACAGGTTCACAAACCGGGCTGCCAGATATTTCGCACAGCAACTCAGGGGTGTGTTTTTTAAAGATGAAAGAAATCAGGAATGACAATGTTTACTTTGTATATTTGGTTTTTCTAATTCCCTCATCCCTTGAAAACCACACAGTTCGGAAGGAGGCCTGGTTGTGGGTCCCACCAACTCTTATTTCCCCAGCCCCGGGTTTATTTCCTTTAAAGCCACCACTTCAATCCTTTAACTCCTTGATTTGTGAAATTTGACAATGGGTGCGTCATAACATATACAGAAAGATGTGTTTGACGAGCAGGTACGTAGATGGTACTACCCTGTGGATGATCCATTTCGCTCCGTAATACCATAGTTCTTCAACGGTCCATTTTGGGGCTTGTGTCCAACTTGAAGGAAGAGCAGATGGCCCCAGAAAAACAGATTGATCCATTGTGCTACAAGCTATCTGGTTGTCCATGTTTGAGGACGGGTATTCTGTGGTAGATATTGATTTGGCGTGGCATCAAAATTTGTCTTGGTGTTAAAACCATTCATTTTAAACCCATTCGGTGGCTAGCGACCCGCAGAATCTGTTGGCAAGAAGATGTGATGTGTTTCTCAAGTTCAATGAATGGTTCTTTTCAGTCTCAAACATGTTCGGCTGAGTGTATGAATGTGTGCTTCTGGTTCACCTGAGAAGATGTTGCTTGTTTGTTCTTGTACAACTGAGTGTGGTCTTGTTCAACCTCAAATTTTCAGTGTGCTAGGGCGGTCGGTCATCAGTCTTCACCCTCTTCTATTCCGACCGTTTTTTTTCGGGCGGCAGGAGCATGCTTGGCACGGGGGCCAAGCTTCGGCATGGGATTCGTGGGCATGTGGTTTTGTCTCAAAAGAAGTGCTAACCACCATAATCACGGATGTTTTGTGTAGTCTAGAGTCTAGTTCCCTTTCACCAGGTTTTCTGTTAACCCCATCGATTCTATATATCAAGGGATCCAGGATCCAGCCATGGAAGGCGAAGGTTCGCACACAGCGACCTGAGATCTTGTGTTCGTTCCGGTGTTTGTGTTGTTTTTTTTGTTGAGTCCAAAGGAAGGTCTGTCGTGCAGAAAGCTTTCAACAATAAGACTACTACCCCAATCTTTTCTGACGACTACCCCAGTCAGAACGGGTGGTTTTGAAATGCTTTGAACAGGTTTGAAAGCAGATTAGCGGTACTGTGCGTTTTCAAGTCCCTTCTGTTGGATTTGACACAAAACGCTGGCAGCTGGAGGAGGGAGTGAGAGGGACAAAAACTGTCGCCAGTTTATTTGGCTCATGAAAGGCCACAATCAAAAGCTTAATTACGTAACGACATGGAAACTAGTTGTTGCTGCCCTCCCAACTCCATGATCAGCTTTCAATTGTTGTTGTTTTCTCTTCGTTGGTTGGCTGACTGGAAAGAAAAACACACCCGACTTTTAGATTCCTTTCCATGTCACCTGAGGTCCAAGTGATTCTGGTGCCAACTCAGGCGCCTGGGGTTCGAACCGCGCGGTTCGTGGCGACCACCCGCGGTTCGCGGTTTGGACGTCGTGGCGACCAAGGCGGTGGAAAACCAAGAACGGTGCTGGTGCGGTGGACCTGTGACGGAATGAACTGGAAGAGCAGAGGTATTTCGGATGTAAAAGGACCTCTAGGGACCTCAACCAGGAGGTTCTCAACCAGGAGTGACTGTTCAGTAGACCAAGGGACATGGGAGAATTTGGAGCATGAAAAGAACTGAAAGAACTGAAAGCAAAGTTCGGCAAGCACTAGGGGCAATAGGGGTATATACCTGTACTGAAAAAGAGGAATGGTTTTGTTTTTTCATGCCTATGTGTCAAATATCAAGTACCCATAATATAATCCTTGGTTCACCTGGCGCTGGAAGGTCGTTCGCGGCAAATGGTGGACTGGTCGGGCTCCAGGTGAAAAGACCTATGCCCAGGTATGCCCAGGTTTGGCAAATATCGGAATCCTAAGGCATTATACCTAAGGTTTTGACTTTTGACCCCATGGTGTCCTCCCTGCCGATTCACTATGGTGTCCTGACAGCTTCAGGCGACCTGCACGGGTGACTTTTGGGAGGCGACGACTCGTCTCCGGGGGACGATCTGGCCGGTGCGCGGTGACGAGGATCTGTCCGAAGCGATGGGTGTTTTTCCACGGACTTCATCAGGTCCTCCGGTGGCAGAAAATCAAGACCCGAGGTCTAAGAAGGTGGCACAAGGTCAAGGTGACCTTGTTTTTCCCGAGGTCTAAGGTGGCAGAATATGTGTTGAAACACTGGAGACGATCTCCTGGGGAGGAGGAGGACTTTGTGGGATGGTATGGATGTGTTTTTGGGCACCACCATGGGACCGCATCATCCTGGAGGAGTCACAAGGTCACAAGATGTCACAAGTGTAGTTTCTTGGAAAACACCACCGGAATCCCGGTGATGAGCCCCTATTTCTGCAACAACTTATTTGATGAGTATGCCGCATATGCCGCTTGCTACACTACACTGCTTGTCCAACCACCACCAGAAAAAGTCTGAGTAATGTTATTTGTTTGAGTTTGTTTACCTTTCCCCCAAAAAGGGTTCAATGGTCAATAGGGTTCAACCCCTGCACTATTCACCGTGTTGCCTCAGGACCCCAACGCCTTTCTGAAAACCCGTGTTGCTTTCCGGATAGTTTTATTCCTGAACCGTAGGTCAAACAAAAGTTGTTTTCCTTACACATCAAGCAGCCGAACGGTCTAGCAGGTAGCCTATACCCTGAGAGTCAAAGACTATATATAAAGAATGGTCTTTAGGTGACCCGAAAAGGAATATCCTTTACTTCAGCCGGTCAAAATATAGTCTCTGGACTTCTAGGGTATAAGAAAAGGGTTCAACAACAAAACCCGTAATTGGAACCCAGCACGGTACATGTCACTCATGTCGCTATCAGCGCGCGACCGTGTCGGAGGCAGCGCTGGCCTTGGCACAAGAGGGACTCGTGAGGCGTGACACCACACCTGCGGCGGTCAAACCACAAGGAAGTGGATGAGAATGGATGGGATATCAAAACCACAGTTGTCAGGACCCCAAGTCGGGGTGGTTAATGGACACCCCTTGATGTCTTTTCAGGGGCTATTTGGTAGGACACCCGGAATCGGTGGTGCCGGTCTATTGATAATAGAATTTAACAATGTTTAACATGTGTCCACAGGTGACATGTTGTCCACATTGGTCTACAGATCGACATTTGTCCAGATTTGAAGTATATGGTCCAAAGATCTAAGCTTGATCATCTGATGAGACCCACGGACCCTAGCCAACCTTTCCACAGACCCCAGCCAACTCACAGTCACCATGGCCTTCCAAAAAGACCCTTCTGCAATTGGACTTGCGCCCTCCTCCGGCTCAGAGCGGCAGCAGATCGATCCCCTCTTTCAGCGCGACTGCATCTTCCATCCGTCATGGCTCGGCTGCTGCTTGCATTGGCCTGTTTATGGTGTGTGGCAGCGGACTTGAGCGCTCGAGTGGCGGAGATGGAGAAGAAGAAGGTGCGACGGCGGAGTGGTATGGTATGGTATGGTAGGGCTGGAGCAGAGTGGGCTGGAACTTCAACATGTTCTTCGCGAGTTTCTATAATTTTAGGAAGTCAAGTTGATCCCATAGCTATTTTTTGGCAAAAAGACCCTTGGGCCACTATAGGAATACTATATAGCTTGTTTCAACAAGCGGCTCTTTTTCTGTGGTTGCCTCACAGAGACTCAAAGAGATTTCAATAAAGAAGAACATTGCTCCGAGACCCTGCGGGCACACGACGATCACGGTCAGTGCACTACCACCACTTCGGTTTGTAGAGGATTTCATGGGCATCCTTTCGGGGCCATGCAATCCACTCGGGGCCATGATCATTCCAAGGAGTGTAGGTTTATTAGGGTTTATGATGGCCCGCCCCGTGTTTCCCGGAATTGGTGTCCTGCTGCCATGCCGGCCGGTTAGCGGGGCCCGCTGGGGTGTTCCTCCAATTTGCAACTCCCAGCTGCTGAAGGGTTCTCACAAGTTCCTGGGACAAATTCATATGAGTCAAATTGAAGTAGTGTGTGTGTATATATAGTATATATATATATATATACACAGTTAAATATACACCTACAACCCATTTGACCTGTGTTTTGAGAGGACAAGACCATATTTGGGGTGGTTAGTCTATAATCAAGGTCACTCAGGTCAAGGTCGATATAATATATAACTATACCCAGACACTCCATGGGACTGGTATATATATATATATGTCTACATGGACCCCTGAAACCACCCCCAACTGATCGGCAAAAATGGCAGTCCCATGGATCGTCGTGTCTGGGATATATGATTGATTCACACCCTTTGATGCATTTGGCCTCTGGTGCCAGGGGAAAGAACGCTCGGCACAGGAGCCGGGGGGTCGGGGGGTGGGTGGGCCGTGGGAAGAAGGAGAAGAAGCATCTTAGAAGCCACGAATCGGCCATTTTAGATGGGGATTACAGGAAGACTCACGGATCACTCACATGTCAGTTGTGCCATTTTCTTTGATTACTTTGTTTGAAGTTGTTCGTTACTAAATACATATCATGCCATTCTCTCCATCGCAACGGCCTGTCACCTTTGACGTTGTCGCCGGGCTGAACTGGTCCAGTCCGTTCGCTTCGCTGAAACACATCTTCTACCCGAAACACACGGAAGGTGAGATTTGTGGACATTGGGTGCATTTCTGGCCTGAGGTAGTAGGGGTTTCAGATGGTGCAAGATGTCTTTCCTCAATCAAATGCATAGTTCGTGGAGGAATGTCTTCAGGTTTTCGTCCCATAATTTCCGATTGAAGCCCGATATTTCTGGGACCGATCAAATTCAAGATATTTGTGGAGGTTAGATCCAGCATTTTTGCTGGAACATTCCCTTGATCATGTGAAGACTTTGTTCCCAAATGCCACTCAGAAGATGTCACCTCCCAAACACTCCATATATGATCATGTATGCCTACATTGACCTCCCAAACCGCCCTAATGTAGGCAAAAATGGCAGTCCCATGGAGTGTTCGGGCCATGGAGTGTTCCCAAGGACACCTATGCAAAGCCGCCGGGCACACCAGCCGCAACTCATGTGCACAACTTTGAAGAAATGCAGATTGCGGCCTTGGCCCATTTTGTCGCTCAGCTCCTTTCTTTTGGGGGGACGATCGTCGTTTCGGAATGGAGGAGAAGTTGACCACAACAATGCTTCTTCTTGACTTCTGAGACTATATGTGCAGTATATATGACACATGCCTTTTGGTCTTGGTCAAAGCATCTCCAACTTTTTCCAGACACCAGAGGCCAACTAGGCTTCCTTCGACGGAGAACTGTTGACTACCAAGAGATCTTCTTTAGAAGAAACCATGGAAATCATGGTACAAACAAGCAGGCGTTTTCTTGCATTTCATGACTCACGAGACGCGGGCAGTTTCATGCTTGTGCGAGTTACGAGTTGGTTGTTGGTTCAGACTTCATGTTCATTCACCATGCGAACCCCGGTGCTGAACCCCCTGCCGAACCGCAATCTGCAAGGTCACCAAATGCTTTTCGACCGACCAGTGCCTTGGCAACGGCCGCAGGCCGCATAGGGGGGCCAGGGCCCTAGAGAATGAAGCTATATGAGTATTAAATGGGTGGCATGCAAGCCCCTGAGCCAGCTTTGTTGCGAAGAGCAAGCTTTTTGGACCAGGCCCTGCTGCTATTCCAACGGTCTCATTGTATGTTGTGAACAGATGGCATACCAATACATTAAGCAGAGGATAGGGATGGGCTTCTTCTTAGGGGAACTTGAGCGATCTTAGGGGTTCTTGGAATCATTGGGGAACCACCATGAGGTGCCCGTCCCGTGGTTGAACAACCTTTTGGAGACCTTCCCATCCCATCCCACTCCCTCGACCCTGGACACGCACGCACACGCTACGCACGCACAAGCTCGCAGAAGCTCGCAAGTCACTCGCTAAGCTGGCATAAGCTCGCTTAAGGTCGCACGCACATCACGCGCCGACTCTTTAGGCTTTCGGAGTGGAACTCCTGCCTGCGGTCGGAGATGAAGCAGGACATGGTGAGCGCTCCTCGGCTGAAGCGGAGCGACCGGAGGGGGTTTTCCGGGTGATGGAGGGGTATGGAGGAGGTGAGACTGTAAGAGTAAGCCGTGAATGGTGATGATGGTAGCGGTATAGGTATACAGTGATGATGTGAAAAGATGTGAAAAGGTACTGGAGGGATAGTACTGTAACATAGCGTAACTGTATATGATGAGATGTCAAAAACCTATAGGAATATTTTTTGACAGGAGGCACGTAAACCGGTTGGGATGTTCATTTTCAAACCACCAAGGCAGTGTTAGATTGGCGCTAGGTTCGCGTTGACTTTTTCTTGTGTATATAGATGTGTTTAGAATCTTGCGGGGGAATGGTGCAACTGACGTAGATTAGGCTGTGTGCTGACATGCTTTTGGGTAGCAGTATAATTACCAAATACTATACTGGGAAAACACAGAAGTGAACTCTGTGATGTGTGTTGCTGTTGCCTCAAGCCGAAAAAAGTTCTTAGTTTTGTGCGCTAGATCCGCGCCAGCATTTGCGCTAGGTTTGCGCTCAAATGTATTCGATCAGAGGTTCATTTGTCCTGGAAGCAGATCTTCCAAGTAGTAAGCTTGTGCCCATGTCTCTTTTCCTATCAATTTCCTCACAGCATGGCTATCTTAGACGACGAAAGATCATCAAAGAGCTTAAAAAAGGCCTGGTGGCCTTCGCGCTAGCTACGTTTGCAACATTCTGCACCTCTGATTGAAATACTTCACATTTCCATACATCCCAGATACCCTCTCTGAAATGTATTGAGCAAGAAGCGGGCCCCCCACCAGAATGACTGTTTACAGCCGCTTTCGGGAAATTACATTTTGATCACCAATCATATGGATGTATTTATGGTATTGATAGGATGAGTGACTGCAAAGCGCAGAGGTGCCTGACGGTGTTTGATCTGTTGCAACCAATCCTCCTGGGCCGGAGCTTTACAGTGGATGCCAAGGAGCCAAAACACAACGAAGCCTGTGATTTGTTGGGGCCGGGCAAGGGGGCTGAAGTCGGACCTACTTCCCGCAACCGTTTTACTGAATAAATCGCGAATGGCTTGATGCTGCTTGGATTGCTGGATCCAAGTTTTACTGTCCCAACTAAGGCTCCAAGGGTTCCGAGTCATTGTTTCATGACTCGAGACAGATTGTGATCCACAAACCCATAACATCACAGGTAATTAAACGGTTGATGTATATGTTGGTGTGTTTCTCACCCAAGCACACAAATTCTTGCTGACGTTGTTCCTTTCGTTAGAAGCGTCAGGACAGAAACTGAACATATAACTAGTGGAAGTAGTGATTGGTGGGATGGGTCTCACGATTTGCTCACTCCCTGTAGCTTTGGGTGACCGCAAATTGGATGCAGTGGGTGAACTCCACTTCCATTGAGTGTTGCGTCTTGATCCATCCGGAGAAAAATGGGCCCCACGATCTTGAGAGAGTGCTCCTAATACGAAAGGGAGCCTCCAGGAGCGCCGTTTTTGCTGATGTTTTGCACATGTTTGCACTGAGGTCTGGATATTTGAAGGAAACAACTATTCCTCATGGATGCATTGCAAGTCCACAGTTGTGTTTAATTGGGGCGACTATCATGTCCAGATATGTACAGTCTAAATGCCGACCGGCTTGGCCAAAATCCACCCTGCCCAGAACAACCCAGTCTACAGCGTGAGGACTTCAAGCGTTTAAGAGGAGAAGTGCAATGCTTTGTTTGGATTAGACAAGCAAATCATGTGGTCATATGTCGTGTGCTTGTGATGTGTTACACGTCCTTTTGCAAGCATGCCAAACTTGTAGAAACATGTAGAGCACCGAGGAGCATGAGTACTAGTTCCTCTTCTGCTACCTCATTCATGCAGGAAGATCAAAAACACTCTGGAGATTCAGGTCTAAGTGCCCCGGGCAACGGATGATTGTACACAGCTCAGTCAGGCAATTGTTTTTTGTTTCAGTGATCTTTTTTTTTTTGGATATTTGGATGATTATGTGGGGCGAATTTTGGTTTTGACTCTTAGTTTCAAAGTTATGCTTGTAGCGTAGGGCAACTTGTCATGATGCCCATCAAGGGCCTAACCTGATGGGTCAGTGCGCACCTGGTGGGTACACTACACTTGGTCGAAGCGGGACCATTCCCATAGTCTTTGCGAACATCACGTGGTCCAAGCGGGTGTTGTTGTGAAGGCGAACGTCTGCAGATACGTTCTTGGAGCACTGTCAAGCTTCTAGTCATCAAGCTAGGTGGTGTGAGGTGCACGGCCGACCATGGCCACTGTCACGTGCAGCAAAGCTAGTGTCAAGAAGGGTGGGCTGGTGGATTTTGATGGTTTTCTTGCGATTTCTTGCTTTGAAGCCGCTGTGGAGCAGGTTCGCCGAACTAGGGGCAAAGCCTCCCTGCAAATGCGAAGCTCCTGCTTGATCCAGCTTCAATGGTGTTGCCTTCAGACTAATCTGATCTGTTAAAGAGTGGCCCTTTTGCCACTCTTTTGGAATTGTATCCATTAGACCAGACTAGCGCCAGAAGAAATACTACTTATACAACTGCTGCATGCTTATGCAATGTTTCTTTTCGGCTAACCCTTGCTGCCAGATTTGCCCATGTGATGTGGGTTGTCCAGGAATCCACTTCAGAGGATCTTTGCTCTACTGAAATCCCCAGAAGTCCCCAGTGACCCCTCCAAGTCACTTGTCTCCCTTCCGGACGGTCCACTCCATCTCGGTGGCCTATCTCGACGACTTGGACGAAAAGCCTTCTATCTCAGAGATCGACAGGATCCTGCATATTACTGCAACTATACGGTATTACTGTATGGACCGAAAACCCTGCTTATTACTTGTATTTGAGATGGACAGGACTCACCCGGCGTGGCACACTGCCAGGCCAAACAAAAAGGGTACCGGACTTCCGGGCGCGGGTCAAAACAAACTGCGTGCAAGTACGTCCTAATTTATCTATTGATTCTATTGTGAACCGGACCCCCCCCCTTCTCTCAAGAGACCCGTTCCGAGTTCTCTTCCGATCCCCAAGACCAGGATAACTTGTCAGGGGTCGATGGTCCATGACTCATGACTGGATTTCAATTCATGCAGAGATGTTCCTGAGTTCCTCCGACGAAGGACATGGGAGAGCGACGAAGGCCGTCACCGTTTTGCATAGTAGTGTGATCCTGGCAAAATGTCAGCTCTCCGCATCTAGACAAGACAAGGGCAGAAAGACAGCCAAGCAGAGACGAGACACACATCAAAGCCAACTCTTCCAGCCATCCTTTGGAGAATGAACCCTTTGCTTGTGCTCTTCTGTGCTTCCATTCAGAAGCTTGAAGTTCCAAAAACAAGACTGAAGACAGAACTCCCTTTGGAACCGGGCACTCTCTGTGAGGCTAAGCTCCATGGAGTCCTCTTGGTCCCACTACAGCGTCAACTGGCTTCCCTTCGCGGATCAGGCCCTCGGGACATGGGAAGACAACAGAAGTGAAGTGAGTGGAACCTCAGCAGCCTTCCGCCGCTGCGGACCGTCCGACGTGGAGTCGTAGGTCAGTTCTTGGAGTCGAGGATGTGTTTGTTTTGCCGAGTCGAGAACATGAGCAGTGAAGAATCACTCAGTGGCCATAGAGCCATATAGAGGCCTGGATATCCAGCAAAGCGCGCTTGTGGTAGATGGGATGCTGTTTTGATCGACGCATGGACAATGGACACCTTACTTAAATGGGGAGTACGACTGGATGGTAGAGGATGTGTCCAGTGTTCTTTTCTCGCCCTGTGGTGATGATTGATTCTCGAAGCTCGAAGGAACGCAGCAGAGACCCTACATGTTGGTTTTGGAGATCAACCCGGCTCTTGACCACAAGGTACCAAGAGTATCCGGCCTGTGCTTTTCCATGCTACTCATTTTTTCTGGAGCGTTCTGGAATGTTCTGGACCTTCTGGATGAATTTGCCCTGAACCTTCACTGTCGGTATGTTGGGTCAACGAGATACTGTTGCAGTTCGAGCTGGGGCTATCAGGTGGTTTTGCCTTCAGCGCTTCTCCAAGAGTGGTTCTCACATGTTCTCACTTATCCTGTTGAATTTGGGCCTTGGAAATGCTTGAACACTTGAAAAACAATGAAACACATACTGAAAACAAACAATATCATCGGCTGGATGTAAAAATCCAAGAATTGACCGCCTCCTGGACCGTATGACCGCGGGTGTGTGGGTGGACAAAAAGCAGAAGCTGACGTTGACCCCGTGGTGCCAGGTACTGCAAAACCCACACCAGAGCATCCAGGAGTGCCCTGAGGTCTGGGTGATTTGATGGAACGATATGGAATGATCAATGGTGTGTGAAGATAGATGCCCCGTCTCATTCTTTTAAAAAGAGAAAACATGGATGGCGTGCTAACAGACGATTCCCAGGCTGTTACAGGTCCATTTTGGCTTCGGGCAGGGTCCAGCAGGGCTCTGGTTGCAGGAGCAATAAGTATTTCCTAGTCCTAGTAATTCTTGTGAGGAAAAAGAGTAAAAGAGTCTTAGTCTTGGCACGCCCATGTCCACCTTCCATATGTGCATTCCCCAGTGTGACCCTGTGAGAGTCACCGACGTCAGGGTTCCGTGGCCACCCTGGCGCATAGCTTGCTGGCCATGGACCAGGTGGGAGGCTGCCAAAAGCGGAAGACGAAAATAAAGGGGGCAAATCAGAAAGTTCCTGGTTGATTGCGGTTCTGGTATTCTTACTCTGGCGGCATATTTTGATTTTTCTCGATATGATTCTTGCAAGACAGATCACTCTCCAAGTCACATTCCACTGAAGTGGGAAATTGATGGAAAAGTCATTGTTCCATCATGTTCCATCCTGTTCCTATAGAGAAAGGATGAGGATTGGATGTGTTCCTTCTTCCAGGGGTCTATGTTCATCTATTTTCCACTACCGTGTCATGCGTTCGTCTCGACTGACTCACCACATCTCACCCAGTTGACTCGATCCGCACCGAGAACAGATGCCTCACGTGAGGCTTGGACGTTTTAGGTCCTAGGTGTTCGTACTGCACTATAAAGCACTATAAAGCACGCATGCATTGCTATGTGCATGGGCCTCTTTATTGGCCCCACACTGTTGCCCCATGAGTCTTGCATATGAACTACGGCTGATGACTCTGTTAAGAAAGATGCTTTTTTAGAGTAGACTCTAGATTATTTCTTAACTATAACCTTTCAATTAAGAAATGTGGCTAGCAGGTAGACTCTAAATAAGGCTTCTTATTCTATTTTCTCCCTGTCAATCCTTCTTAGACCATGAAATCGCTCTCCCTCGAGATCTAAATCGCTCAACCGCATCGCTATGCGCATGGTCTTTGACTTCTTCGACCCGTATCCCCGGATGTTGTAGAATGTCCTATCATGGTATAATGCTCAAGAATCTGAGATGAGGGGAGGGAGGGAGAGAGGTTCAAAGTTGAAGGCTCCGATGGGACTTCTAAAGGGTTTCAGACCAGTATCAGACCACCCGAGAGGACAGGTTGGGGACAGTTTTTTCAACAGACTTAGACAAGCTGAAGCTCCATGTTCTCCAGTAACTTCCGTTGACCATCGGTGACCATATCACTTTTGCAGACCATTGGAGCAGCGCGTGATCTCTCTCTCTCCCTCTTTCTTTCTCTTTGTGGGCCCTTCAAATTAGAACTTAGTACGTACTTAAAAGAAAACTATTTTTTGACAAAATTAGAGTCTAGAAATAACCTATTTTTCCGAAAAATAGAGTCTACTTTCTTGTTTAAGACAATTTCTTAACACAGATAGAAACCGTATAGAGTTATCTAGTTCTCTTGCACTTACACGCTTGATGTTTTATCTTGTTTTTTGTGTACCCACTGTGTTCAGGTCATGACGGCTTGGAGATGAGAAACGGCTTGGTGATTTTACTGGTACTTCAGTGGAACCACTCTTCGAGCCGTTGGATCTACCTGCAGGACCGCAACGGTCCAACCAGGGTACAGAGCGGAGCCCCTGGTCGACCAACAGGTGAGTCAGTTCGGGGAAGCGGATGTGGGGTCTAATGACACACGCAATGACAAACCCTATTGGGTGCATGAATCAATTGTTCACATCATTAAAACCCTGGTGGCCGCACCGCTGGCTCTCGCCCGACATACGGCGACCGAACCGCTGTGTCCACACGGTCGCCAATTGAACCCTCGTCCGGAGCGTCCCCCTACTTCCCCCCAAAAAAGACGTGCGTCGGTGACGATGCCGGTGACGTCACCGGACCTGCGTGACCTGCGAAAAACCAGGTCAAGCCTGGTTAAAACCGATGGCAAGTTACCCCAAGTTTCATGGTTTATATGAACCATCTGTCTAAGACGTGTAGTAGGGGTGCTAGTGCCATCGAACATCTGAAACCACTGCGGAAAAAAGAAACAATAGACATTGCTAAGTAAAACCCCTTTCAACATGTATTGAAAATCGTGCCACTATATATATATATATATAGTATTTTATGTATTATATATATATATCTATATATCTATGGGGACCACTATTGATTATATATCGATGTCTTTCCCACGTCTCCTTCACCTCGGCTGCGAGTTGACGAGAGAGTTTTCCAGAGGTGGATCAGCAGACCACTCGCCAGCCGGGTCCCAGAAACGTCGCGCTTGCTGCTCGGCTGTTCGACTTGGCCAAAGTAAGTAAGGCCGGTATAACAGTAGGTTAAAGAAGAACTCACTGCTTTTGGGGGGATCTAGGCCTTTAACTAGTCATCCACTATCACTGGTCATGAGAGATACCCTGGATTTGTATGTTCAACATGAGCCTGGAGCTTTACTCAGCTCCTGAGGACCCGGAAATTGTCGCCACACACTGACATTTGCCACAAATTTGCCATTATTGTGATATATTCATTCAGGTTTATCAATTCCAGCGCGAGAATTGGTAGCAAATGTCCTGCTGGTCAACATGTTTTAACATGTTGACCAAACACGTGTGACCTCGGTACCATGACCATCCTCAGCAGGAAGCCGGGCCGAGCCAATTCTCCACGAAGACGGAAGACACGGATGTCGCGGGACCGTTCGAAGACGGAAGAAGACACGGCGGACACCGTCGTGGACGGGTTGGAAGTTGAAAGCTTAGGAATGTTTGCAGGTACTAGTGCCTGTGTTAAGTGGTATGTACCGGTGCCTGTGACTAAACCCCAGCGCTTGTAGTATGTGGAGAATTTTCTCAGCATCTGTCAGTGACTGTAAGTGTCGCGTGTGCTCAACGGAGGGTAGTCTTAAACAGATCTTAAGGAGAACCATGGATGATCACAAAGAACCACCCTCACCACTAACGTCAGGTAGTCCATGGTGCATGATTGCTTGTTTTCGCCTCCCAAGGAGTATCAAGATGATGCACCATGCTTTGGAAGTGCTGCGACCTCAAAAACGAGAGGCACATGGTTTGGCATGGTTTGGCATACAGAGAGGATCGAGATGTCCATACCCGAAGGGACATGGACTAAGAAAGCCCACAACCGCCCTTTCGCTTATAGAAGAACATCAGTAGGAACATGAATCATCTCTTCAGGAGTCTACCTTTCAATACCCACCTTTGCCTTCCTGTTTCTACCCAACCAATCATGAGAGGGGCAGGATCGAGCTGCGTGGGGCTGCCAACCCCCCAAGGCCAGGTCTTCTGACAGAGCTGGGTCAACACCTGGAGCCATGGTCCACCATGTATCGAACGACCGTAGGTATCCTTGTGCCACTAGCCACAGCCATTTGCATCATTTGCCTACCCCCGAAGTTGAGGAGCCTCAGACGTTGACCCTAGCAAAGTGACATGTCCTTCAGTCCTTAGACCTGCACCGCGGTCGGTCTTCCGGTCCCTGAGTGGGGTGTCCGGTCCCAGGAGGACAGCCTCTAAACTGTGCTGAACTCTACCCTCTGACCAACTGCCCTGTTGGATGAATCCTCCGACACGAGGACACGACAGCACCGCACCGGGGCCTGTCTCGGCCGAGAAAACTCTCGTGACTTGGCCGCTCCTCTGGCCAAGGCCAACGGCTGTGGAAGAGCCGGGATCCTCAACAAAGCCAAAAGGAGGTCGCAAAGATCATTCGAATTCGTGGACCGCTTATATAGGTGTGCTTGAGGCTCTTCTGAGGACCATGTGCATGAAGAGAGGTTGGAGGGTGTGCAAATTCCAGCGGGTGCGGTGCTGAAGCTTCATCTTCCGGACGTTGAAACATGTTGACATCAGCTGAATTCGAGCATCTCACACCCAATGAGATGAGTGGTTCATGTTTTTACTGTTCTTCAGAAGAACCTTTGCTTCATTCATGCCTGGTGCAAGAACTGCTCCTTCCATTCTGTGAATTCATTCTTCTCGACTGTCTCGAACTCCTTTCACTTGCCCAATCTTCATTCATTCCTTTTGGATCTCTTAATAGAACATGAAATGCCCATTCTTCATGTGTCTTCAACATGATCGAAGGACCCTGGCACCACAACGCCAAACGCTTTTGTTTTCCGCCACCTGGACACCTCCACCGGGACCTGTCAGGTCCGGCTGGCGTGACTACGGACTGATGACCGCGTCGTCGCTGTGGGGGTGTTCCCAGAGCACTGTGGCGAGGGCAGAGGTGGTTTTGGTGGTTTTGGGGCATAGCTGTGCTAGCTGGAGGTGGTGAGGGAGTTCATGGGAGTTCAATACTTAGCCTGATTCACCTGAAACCCGAGATGAATGGTCATGGTGTGTGACTTTGCACATGAGCGTCTTTCCCGTTTTGAGGATGGTAGTAGATTGTAATGAAAACGGTTGGTGGAAGGTAGATTTCAATTGAGGTGTTTTGGTGGAAGGTAGGAACACTAAGACTCAACATATCTTGCACATTCTGGCACACCAAAAAAAGCTCTACCCTAAACCCAGTCATTCACATGGAAGTGGAAAAGCATGGAACACCCACCTGTTTCTAGAGGAAGAACTCTCATCCAAGGGGCCTATGGCCTATGTTTGTTTCACTTTCATTAGTTCAGGGGGGGAATCCAGTACCCCGCTGAAAACTAGCATGGACCCTAAAAACCACTGGTTTGTAGAGGAAAACAGTCTTTGAGGGTTCCATTCGACCCGGTTTCGTGTTAGTTCTCGAGAATATATAATGATGCTACAATCCCCCTCCAATTTGCCAACCTTCAAAGCTGTTGTTTCTAAGCCCGAACGGTCCATGGCTGTTGTTTCTACGCCCGAACCGAGGCTGCACTTCATGTACCTCAAGCTGGGAGCACCAGCATACCCTGCGTCGTTTTTGGTGGCTTTCTGGGTCGATGGAGCGTGGTGCACCTGTAGCTCAGTGTGAGACCTCTTCCAGGGGCACCTGAGCTTACAGAACTGAGACAGTGCAGAAGAATGCAGAAGACCTATAGGGAAAGTAGACTGAAGTCACAGCAGAAGTCACCCGACACCAGTTTGGTGGAGTCCTTCCCTTCCTGGAGTTCACATGTCGACAGTTTTGGCTTCAGAAGACGGTCAAAAGGGAGTTCACGACCCAAACCTGCGGTGAACCGCAGCCCATAACGATCGCTTCGTATGGCTTCGTGATATCATTGTTCATTCAGCTGAATATATAATAGGTCTTCCACCTTGGGTCTTCCTAAAAATTTCTGATCAGCTCTTTGAGGAGACCAACAGCTGGCTCGTTGAGTCATCATTACGATTGCTTGTGCGCAGATGCGCTAGTAAGGAAGCCAAGCTTTGCTGGGATGGATTGCTTTGCATCTTCACTTTTGCAAGGCTGCTTGCCCTTGCTGCTTGTCTCTTCAGACTAGTAATTCAGCCCCCTTTTCAGATCCTACGGTCAGACCGGCCACCACACCACGCCACCTTCGGGGTCTCGGGGTCTCCACTGCCACCTTCGCCGAGCCGACGAACCGCTCGCCGACGGTCTCGTTCGGATGCCGTCGCATGGTTCGATCAACCCGGAGAAGGGCGACAATCACCCGTGAGGTGGGTGAACATCCCGCAAGACAACGACCGGCCCAAGGTGACCGAGGCGGCCCAGGGAGTTTGCTTGATGTGCTGGTTTTTGTGGCCCAGGATGTTTGGAGTTGACGGCAGAAAGGATTGTTGGAAGAGTCGAGACTCTCGACGTCCCCAAAAGGAACATTCATCAGGTCAAGATTTGCGCCATGCTGCGCCATGCTGCGCTTGACTTGCCACAGGACCTCTCCTTAGACCTGGAGATGCTGCGGCCGCCGCTGGGCTCAACGAAGGGTTACTGTGGATGTCAAGAAGCGTCAAAGGGTGGCAGCAGGAGCTGCGTCAAAGGGTGGTTCTGCTTTGTGAAGTGTCAGGGTGTGAAGCTTGCACAATGGGAGGTATATTGAGTCTTTTCAACTGAGCTCAGGCTCTTGAGGCTCTTGATCTATCTGAGAGTAGAGCAAATGTACACAATACTGCTATCCAAGTGAAAACAGACTTCATGGGGTGCACATGTCATATCATTTGATCCTAAGAAGAAACATGAGTTGTTACTGAATCAGTCCATCCAGTGTCACAGATCATTTTCACATGTTTGACTTGGCACTCAAACCTTGGTGGCCGATCCTAAGCCTCAATATTGCAGAGTCACTAGCACCTGGCTGTTCATCCGTGATCGCGGTTGACAGCGCCTCTCTTGCATCACCTATGACTGAGGCATCACGAGTTCCTCTTCAGGACAGATCTTGATCTTGGATGAACACAAAATCATAAGGGGCTCGGTTTAATGAGGAGGGGGAGTGGATGAAAAATTACAAAACCATACAAAAACTACGTATCCTCATCCTCGACATTACCGCAGGACACCCCATTACGGATGTTGAAAAACTCCACTTCTACATCGTTGGCAGGAACTTTGTGGGCGACTTTGTGACCAAAGGTGTTCGAATGCCCAGCTGAGCGACTGGAGCAAGAGAAGGAGAAACAGGATAGATGAGTCAGATGAGCTGTGTGCAACGGTAGTTGTGGTGGTTGCCCTCATGACGTGTTCACCGTTCACGATCCCTTGATTCGCTTGGGGCCGTGTCCCGAGACTGGATTGGGTTTTGTTCCATTTTGCACCCTCATTGACCGTACAAGCATGAAGCATCATGAAGCTATACGTAGTTAATCCAAGGCTTGCAGGAAAGCAACTCAGCCAGTGCTTGCCAGCTTTTCTGCGGCTCAAAGGGAACGACATGAGGACTATCAACGGACGACATGATGACCTCATGACGGGGATTACCTTGATTGAGGGCGTGTTGATGCCGGAAACACAAGGATTGACAGATGGTTGCCGAAGCAAAAACATTCAACTATCCTTTGCCACTGTTTCTTTTCCGTGGATCACTGCATGTCGGTGCCTGGATAAACATGTCCATTTGCTCAAAGCGGATTCAACACTTACTTCTTTTGCATGCGTGCCTCAGGTGCGACCTACGGTGTCTCGTTGGGATCCATCAGTCAATCATCGGAATCTCCGAATCAAAATCCAGTCGCCCCCACGACTCGGGGATCCATCCCCAAGTTCCACCCAAAGTCGTTGGGCGGCCATCGCGCCATGGCGGTGGCCGTGGTGGGCGGCGGCATGGCGGGGGTGAGCGCTGCTCGAGTGTTGAGCCGTCAAGGACGGATCGTGAAAGGGGTCGGTGAGGGGGTCGCGCCTTGCTTGGCCCACTGGGCCCAAAAGGAAAGGAGCCAAGACCACAGGTGAAGATGCCTTGAAGAGGGTTTGAGTTGAATGTTTTATGCTTTAGTCTTTTTTTCCACAAGGTAGCAGTGTATGCGTTCACTTTTGTTTCACATGGTCCGGTGGTTACTCAGTTCTTTGTTGCTTACTGGAGCTGTTTGGTTTCCATCTGTTTCCATCATGTAGTGATAATAGAATACTCCCTTTCCCACAATAATAGGAGCATCGCCAAAAGACATGGACGTACCAGCGTTGGAAGATTCCTTTACTGGTGCCTGGGCGTCTCCATGTGTGCTGGGCGTGTTTCGCGGAGCCGCGGAGGATTCCAGGTTCGTTTGTACGAGCGCAGCTCACAACTGGGCGGTCGCTTGGGACATGCGCAGCTGGGTCCACATCAGGCCGGGCATGAAGAAGAGCAGCAAAGCTGGTACCTGGACGGAGTAACGAATCTGAATATCACTGAATAGTACGTATATATATAAATATATATTATAGTACATGTTCTCGCATGAGAAAATCTATGAAACAACATGATTTGCTCACTCCGAATCGCATGGAACAACGAGCTTACAGACCGAAACGCTCTGCAGGGCCTAGGGCGTCGTCTGTCGGGGCGAGTGGGACTCAACCTCCGATGCCTCGGAGTGGATCGTTGTTTCCCATACGGACTGACTGTGGTGAGCATGCCATGGTCTTTGCTAAACCCATGCCAAGACCCAAAGACCTTTCCAGGACATGTGGTTCAAACGCGCATGACATACTGGTACATAATATATATACCCTAGAAGTCCAAAGACTATTTTAGGCACCACCCAAGTAAAGGAAGTTCCTTTTCGGATCACCTAAAGACCGTTTTAAAAATAGTCTTGGACTCCCAGGGTATATATACCATTATAATTAACCCATGATATGTCCCGTTCTTTCATGGTCATTGGGCGTGAAGTTGGGCGAACCCGTTGGTATGCCGGAACCGTTGTGAACCTCGGAGACGTTCAGTGAACTCCATGCAGGTGGGCTTGGGAGCGACCTATGTGAAGGCCAAGGATCCTCTCTTCAAGGCACGACCGAGCTCGCGAGATGCAGTTTTCGGTGGCGAGGGACATGTGAAGAACGGGAGGTGGAGCTGGCCACCTGAGTGAGGGTTGGATTTCTCAGAAATGCATAGACTAGAAGGGCCTTTCTAAGACAAGAACGTGGATGGACCTGGGATGGACGGCCATGGTCCTTCGATCTACATCATGTGGGCCCTGCGGGATTCCCCAACTTCATATCGAAGAAGGCGTTTCGAACGCGGTGGTGCGGCCAGCTTCCAAGAGACATGTTGTTTGGGGTTGGGGCTCCGCTCTAATGACCAGCTTATCGAAGAAGGGGTTTCGAACGCGAGGTGGTTCATGCTTTGGTCAGATTCCAGGAAGCATGTTGTTTGGGCCTGCGGTTCCGCTCTAGTTGTCAGTTGTCCTACCAATTTCACTATTCATATTCTTGCCACTGAGCCCAGCATCCCTGCCCTCCTCCACTGCAATTCCCGGCACATCAGATGTGCCCTGCCCCACTCATGTTTCACCGGTTCGATCTGCCCCTCCACCGGCAGGCGGAGATCGCCCGGCTCCTGGACTTGGGCTTGGTCTCGGAGTGGCACCTTGGGTCGAAGGGAGTGGCACATGTAGCCCTTGGTTTGAAGGAAAGGACTTCGGAAATCCGGAGGGAAGCGGGTGCGGGATGTTTGAGATCACTCCTATTTGCATGAAGAGTCAACAAGTTCGCATGAGATGCGGGGCGTGGGTTCCGAACCTCCAGTGGCTGGACCGTCTCCCAAGTGGCTGGACCGTCTCCCAAGTGGTCACTGGATGGCTCGTCTCTTGGGGAAGATGATTTTTGTTGGATGATGAGTGTGCATGGAGTGACTGTCACTCCACCTTGTGGATCTTGTGGGTGTGTTTGAAAGGAAGTGGTTTCTGCGGCAGCCCTTTGGAGTGCAAAAACCATCGACTCACGTGACTCACGTGGCTCGCGTGACTCAAGACTTTACTGTGGTCTCAGAATGTGTTGGAAAGGAGAGCACCGAGATGCACCGAGCAACATTGGACGCTACCCTCTTGGTTGGAATCATGGAACAACAAAAACTAAGAACTTTCGTGAGATTTGGGTCCTTCAGGTAGTGGTTGTTGGGGTAGGGCATCGGTGGTGGTTTGTTTCTTCGCAACTAGGCTATAATAATCATGTAGTGGGGATATTATGATATTATGGATCAAGGCAAGGCTGTTGCAGTGGCTGTGCCCCAACAAGATGTGGAGCACCAGGGACATTTGTGTTCCTCAGCTACTCCCAGGCCTCAATTCAACCATGTATAGTCCATAATGGCACAAGATAAAAATCGGTGTTGTTCCTATGTTTTTGTCTCTTGCCGACTTATTTGGCTTCATGCCTACTTACGATCCCGATCCTACATATGTACGTGCATTCATTGGGGCCATGTACCAAATTTGCTTTTTCTTCATAGGATCGGCAGTCTGACCCGAATGACCATCCATCCGACCGAGCTCACCCCCAGTCCATCGCGCCAGGAACGCTGGTGTCCCCCACTTTATCGCCTCTTTGGTCGCAGAAGGTGTTCATTCAAGGCCTTTCCACAAAATAGTGATAATCTTCTTTCGACTGCTACTGGTAATGGGACACACATGGACACCCCCCCAAAAAAGAAACCTCACATCGTTCAATCATGCCTTTGCTCATCATCCACTGTTACTTGTAATGGGATATATCCAAGGTAAATTGTTTTTGGTGTCCCCATGTTGGACACTGGCGAAGTTGGGGCAATCAGCCAATCCACTGCGCTCGGCCTGGTGTCCTGTGCACTCTGGTGTCCTTGATTTCAGATTGCTACAGCGGCAGAGGTGAAAGAAACACATGAAATCATGGGAGGTTAGGAGAACAACTTGAAAGCCTTTCGACTGGAGGAGCAGGTGAAAGTCATGGACCTACTGTGTGTTTGTGTGTGCAGGTCTGAACCGGTTCCGAGCTGACCCACCGCGATGGTGCGGACCTTCTTTGCTTGGGAATGCTTGTCTGTATAGTCTGAGGAATACTGTTTTGGCGGGTGCTCATCCAATTCACAGCCGGGTCACAGCTCGGCGAAAGATGCTCTGCCCTTTTTCTAATTAGCCACACCTGAACTACCTTGACATACTCTGAGACAGACTGAGACATAGTCTGTAATTATCTCGCATTTGTTGGTCCCCCTTCCAGCAGATCTACACCCTGTTGGTGTTTGTCTTCGACACCACCGGCGCTCTCGAGCGCCGTGAGTTGTCCTTCCCAGGAAGCGCCCGGGAGCTTTGTGGCCAAGCCTGAGCTGAAGAGCAGCACGGACGTGTGGTACGTGGGACGACCCAACATGAACAGCTTCGTGCGACTGGAGGAGACCTTGTAGGAGGCATAATTACGGAGGGGAGTCTAGGGTGCAGGGATGTTTAGGGTCAGTGGGAGGAGGCAGTGACACCGGACAGACATTTTTTTTTGTTTTTGTTAGGTTGGACAGATTAGACTTTGAGGTTGGCACTAAAGATATCAGTCATTGTCAGATCAAGACGGCGGCGCTCTTTTTGTTGAGGCTCAGATAGGAAGAAAGTGTGTGCTCAGATCAGATCATGACCTTGCTACCAGGCCAGCCAATCAGGTTGGCTCAGCTCAGTTGTGTTCGGAGCCTTGGCAGCCTCGGCGGCACGACCATCCCAGGACGAGGCCATCACTCTTTGTGGCGAGGTCAAGTCGCTGAGTTGGGACAAGGTGCGTCTCCTTGGGCTAAGTTGGTACAATATCGTGAGTCGGAACTGTTCTTGGGTCACCGTTCAAATGTTGCATGTCTTTTTCTTGGACTTGAAAAAGTGTCAGAGCCAAAAGCATGAAACAAGATAAGCAAGGCTTTGGCTTCCACTAGAGATCGTAGGTGAAATATCTATTTGCCGCATAAACACATGCAGTTCAGTCTGTGATTACTGACTGCTGCTCGTTGGGGAAAATGCGGACGTCCTCTCATTCATACCAAATAAAATACGGCGAACGATGACTCAGCACGGCACGGGGCTTGAACATACGAACGAACACATTCGTAAACACAGTATATATTTGCAGCTACGCAACGCACGGGTTCTTTTGTTTCCTTTTCTTGGGCAAGGGCTGCAGAAAGCAGCTTCCGCATGCTTCCGCTCATAGGAATCAACGTTAAGGAACAACTTGTGAGGATTCCTTTGATTGTCCCTCTGAGGCAGCCTGGCTACTGAACGGCGACTCAGACCTTTATCAAGCGGTTGTTGCGCCATAAGGTCGCAGGGCTAGAGGACGTCCAGTGGGGCATGAAGATTGGCCAGCTTGCCCGAGTCATTTGCAAACTTTGTACAATAGAATCAACACGAGTAAAGGGCGGAAGTACACATATGATGACGAGGCCCTCAAGCAGAGGCTTTCCTTCACTTTCAGTGAGTATACAGTAATTACTCACTATAGTTCACAGTTGATAGTTAAAACAGCTTTGGGAAGCTAAGTTTGCGAAGAGTTGCACCGGTCGGGTCGCACCGTCACCGTCACCGGCCGAACCCGCCGTTACGGGAGCCTTTTTGTATCTTTCTGTTCATAACGAACTTGTTCCATGAATCAATAATTGGATAATATTGGATATATAGGTAAGCAGCTTAACTGATGGGCCCCAAGTTACCAGGCCCAACGAAGAGTGAAGATGGAGGCTGCGGATGTTCGGAGGTGAATAAAGCTGCCTTCGCGCAGCCCATACTGGGCGAACGAAAAGCGACGATGTCGGCACCTGAGGAGAAGATGAGGTCAGTGCACTGATCTTGGCACTTCCTGTGGCGCAGATCAGGCCCTTGCTGGTGCCCTGGAGAGAGATTGGGACACCCAGCTGGGCGTTTTCAGTGACGGTGGAATGTAGTGAGATCATACAGGTGAACCATTGGATTTCTGGGTCCTCAACACGTTTGATTGACTCCTTGCTGGTACAGAAGATAGAGCCTGTAGAGACCCCCAAACAGACAGATTTAACACAGTATAAAACAGTAATAACAAAACATCCTGAGCACTGAGAAGAAAGCGTTTCGATCTATTCAGGGAGCACAGCTCTAAATAGACGTGGTACTCTTTCTTTTCTGCATGGGCTAATATATGTCTTAGGGTCCGCAACAATTGTCACGACCACCCTACCTTTGCGGATGATCCTTTCTCAAATGTTATATAGATCCCATAAGGTGTGATCCGCCCGTGATCTTTAGGCTGGCAATCTCGAAGAGATTCTGCCCAAAGAAATGCTGGACAAGGACTTTGAGAAGGCACTGATCAGTCGCGAACGACCGACGCCCGGGCGTCGGTCAACCGGTATTGTACCGATCCAACCGGGTGGCGCCATAACCCCGCAGCAGTATCCCGATTTTTGGAGCCATATCTATACCCAGACGCGACTAGTGGGACTGCCATCTATGCCGATCAATTGACCCCTCAAACCACCACCACCACCACCCCACCTCATCGGCAGTCCTATGGCAGTCCCGGGAGCGGAGCGTCTGGCCCTAAACCCTAAACCCTGAGCGTCTGGGATATGGCCGGTACTCTGCAAAAGGGGAGTCGCTGTCAGGGTCGGGTGGCCGTGGCGTTCGCCTTCACCGCCTCTTTGGCGCTGCCCTTCCGGCTGGCCTTCGACGCTCGGCACCGGTGTCCGTCCGGTCGATGGGAAAGGCCACCAGACGCTGGTGGTGCTTGGCCTAGTAGCGACGCCAGGAGCCCCTACCTAGTAGTGAGGCCAGGAGCCCCTAGTAACTAGTAGCTTCTTGTAGATAGAAAGAAGACTTGGAAGCCAGTTGTGGAGCGGATGTCATAGCTCAAGATGAGGCCTCAAAGTGGACATGTTGGAGAGCGGGCATCATTAGTCAGAAGGACTACATTTGCGAAGTTTGGAGGGTGAAATCAGGTAGTGTTCCAATGTCCAATGTTGTTCATTTGACTGCCCAAATCTATAGGTGTAAATATAGCACGGTTAATGCACTGGTAGAACATCTCTCCTCTCAAATGTCAAGAGAACAGTATGTTTTGACATGTTTTGACATACCCTCAACCTCGACCTTGTGATTTCAGCTACACCGTCCCCTAACAGTGTACACACCCTGCAATGGTGGAGTTCACCTGTTTGACCTTGGGAATGGCTGGTCATTTGACATCCACCTAACCATGGGAACTCCAGGGAGTGTAGTGACTAGTTAGTGTGGTCCAAACATGAAGCTCTAGATCCGTTTGCTTTGGTCATCTACTAGATTGGTTTTCACACCTGCAGGTTTCTGCTGATTGTCAATGAATGAAAACAACATGATCAACTCACCCAACAGGAGCCAGCTAGCAGTCGGTGTGACGTGTTCTACGGAAAAAATGGACACGGTTTGAAGTCCCTATCAAACAATGTGATCAACGGAGTTCAACGCATACTTCCATGGTCGCCACCACATTCTTCACCCCCACATGATCGCTCTTTCCCGTCACGCGCTGCCCAGGTGAAGGATTCGCCCATCACCCTGGTGCTCAATGACACCTCCCGTGCCGAGGTCTGCGACTCCGCGCCGAGGTCGCGGTGGTCGTGGCTTTTGGCGGGTAACGGTTTGATTCTCTCGGTTTCCTGAGGTGACTCACCTGAAACGGAGTCGGTTTTGTTTGTTTCATGTTGTTGTTGTTGTTGTTGTTGTTGTTGTTGTTGTTGTTCCTGGGGAAATTTGATCCAAATCCTCTCGTGGAACAGGTGGGGAGTTCAGGACTGGGTTTGCTTCGAGTGCAGTGGGGGACGGAGGCGATTTCTCCCAACGTGAGCTGCTACTGCGTTGGGGCGTCCCTTTTTGTCCATGCCTTCAGCCACTGGACCTGTTTGGAGTCGTATTTTTTTCCAGGTGCCTCTTGGGCTCGGCTTGGGGACTGATCCTTGGAATCAAGATTTCATGAGCTGGCATTCTCAGTCATTGTTTCAAGATATATATTTTAATATATTGTAAACTATTAAGACAGGCTGTGACAGTCTCCCCTATAAACATTGGATACCTCTAGCTTGGTGTTGTCCTTGAAATAGAGCGATACATTCTAGCAGCAGTGTCTAAGTCTAATCCGATCTAATCCCACATTAGACATCATTGACCATAGAGCTCAAACCAAACACGCAAAGAGAATGTCAATCATTTAGTTTACCTAGTTTACCAATAGTTTTTACCCCAAGATGCAGCTGCAGAGCTTTTGCATTCTGCCCATCCCCCTGCAATCAGGGCGACAAGCTCTCCGCCGACTTCGCCGCGGAGAGCGGCGAAGTCTGGGTGCTGCAGACGAGCACGGAATGGGCAGCAGAATGTCTCAAGGAAGAACGGCCCGAAGACGAGGCGGAAGAACGGCCGTGGTTGTTTTTCCTGAAGTCTGTACAGGTATATAAAGGTCGCATCTTGTCGTTGTTTACTTTGTTCTGATATTATGTTTTGTTTTGTGGATTTTGTTGTTTCATCATCTTTGGTTGGTGTCGTGTCATGTGTCGTTCATAGCCCTGTCATCCACCTCCCCTTTGTAACCCAGTGTTGAGAAACCCGTGGCTTCCATGTCTCCGACTCTCCGCCAGATTTGCCGCCAGCTCCTAGCGGAGTTCGCGCGGCTTTTGGGGGAGCTGCCGTCGGTCTCTGAACAGAAGGCGAAGCGGCCGGAAAAAGCGGTGGTGGGAAAGAATGTGGAAGACCATGGAACAGCGACTACCAGGATCATCCAATGAGTGTCCATAGACTACCCTACCCTACTTACAGGTCTCCAGACAGGGCACCTTGATCCCCTGGCTGGTTTGGTCACGCCTGGAAGAGGTCACTTTGGGGACTCCAAAAAGGTTACGAACTGAAGAAGCTGGTACATGACCACATAGGGACTTCAAAAGGTTTCTGTTTTTTTTCCACAGAACACCCAGAGTGCTAGCTGGCTCGTTTGGGTGAATGTGTTCTCACCCATTCATTGACAATCAGCAGAAACCTGCAGATGTGAAAACCAATCTAGTAGATGACCAAAGCAAACGGATCTAGAGCTTCATGTTTGGACCACACTAACTAGTCACTACACTCCCTGGAGTTCCCATGGTTAGGTGGATGTCGAATGACCAGCCATTCCCAAGGTCAAACAGGTGAACTCCACCATTGCAGGGAGTGTACACTGTTAGGGGACGGTGTAGCTGAAACACATTATTATATCATATTATACCTATATCCAAACCAAATACCACTCTTTGGACATGGAGTGTACTGAGTGTACCGTAGAAAGCCGTGTCCTCCCACACCTGCAGGCCATCCACTGGCTCTATGGCGACGGTGATTATCAGCTGTCGGCGGGCTGTGCAGGTGACCCTTTGCGCCGATTGTATTTGTGTGGAGACTGGTGCTACAATGGCCGTGTGGAGGGCGCCTGGATGAAGCTTGGTCAAAACTTGGTCGAGCTCGGTGATGAAACCTGGTGCTTTTGGGACCTCTAAAGGAGTTCGACCCGACCGGGGCACGGAAGGGCTGGTTGCAATGGATACCCCTGCGACAGGGGACTTGTTCTTGATACATCTGCGACAGTGCAACGAGACACACTACTGCTGCACGCCTGGCTCGCGGGCACAGCAGTACGTAGTCGTAGAAGAGACATTTGGACCAAGCAGGTCAGTTTCTAGGTCTTCTCCATCCTGCCCTTCATCTTCAAAGCAACTGGTGGCTTCTTGTGGAGATATACATAGTTGAGGCGTCTTCCACATATATGGGAAAACACATCTTTTAGACTGTTTGCCACGTCAACTGCGCATGACACAACATAGAAACAGAATAATTGTCTCCTGAATGGAGATTAACCATCAGACTTCACACCGGGAGACACCAATGCAGTTTTGAGTTTTGAGCGCACCAGTGAAACTCCCTCATACTTGTACTTTGGATGACTGACGTTTCACTGCCACTTTGACCTGCTTCCTCGTGACTGGCATGTGTTGGCATAGAAAACCATCATCTTCCAGCCTCCTTTGCCTTATGCCTTATAGATCATCTATCAGCATCCGGGATGCTCTCATCGTGCATCCGTCCATCCAAAGACGCCGTGGAGTTTGCACATCAGACAGGCGGTTTGATGGAAAACACCTGGTGTAGGGATTCATTGGGTGTGTTTTTCAAGGGTCATGTTCTCTCGGGATCTATTCATTGGATCCGGAAAATGCTGCCGAAAGAAAGCAGCATGTTTGTGCTCTAAGAACCAGTGGTTGACTCAGATTTCCAGTGGAGTCTGGTTGTGGGGCATGTCTAAGTCCAGTTTCCTTCTGAGGAGCGGATTCAACGCCGCCTCGGCCTTGATGGAGCTCCTGAAAGAGTGACAGCCAAAAGGAAAGAGAGTGGAAAAAGATGGTTGCTGCAAACAAGGTGCAGCCCGGAAGGGAGACCCAACGGTTGAGTTGTAGGAAAAGGATGGAACTTGGATCCTTTTAGGACCCATACCTGGGTACAAAGCTGGACATATAGTACGGTAAAAACACTTCTTAAACGCGTTGCATGGTGCTTTTGCTTGACCCAAATGAACTTTGTTATTTGAGGATGTTTGAGGTTGCTTGGGTCATGTTTGTGTTTGAAGGAGCCCTTCCACCTTGGAGGTGGGGAAAAAAGGTGTACAACGCAGCCATCCACAATCCACTGGATGCAACATTGACCGTTTGAAAGGCCGCATGCTGTTTGGCCTTTCATGTTGTACGTTTTGGGGCGCAAAGACGTCAGGCTTTTGGGATGTCCCACTTTTGACCTGTGTCCCCAAGCAGAGCAGCCGTGCATGCCGGGTCCGGGGGATACGACCCGAGGACTTTTTGGGACATGCCGCCATCAGCTGAAGCCCGGTCGAAGCGTTTGGCTGCAAAACTGTCGCTTTGGTGTTTGGTCATCTCATCCTCCTCCCCGAACCGTAATTTGGCATAATGAAGAGTGGTCAGAATGTCTTCAGTTGAGGTTTACGAGTTGTCCATCACTGAGAATAGCGTCTACTTCTCGGAGGCGAGCAACCATCCGAGGTTTTGGCAGGAGTTGTAGCGTGAAGAATGTGACCAGAGCCTTTTTGCGGCACTTTAGGGTAAAACATCGCGATGCTACTGGGGTGCTTAAATGGCACAGATGATGCATATCTGTCAGGAGAAGCTCTTGGTTGCCACACGTTGCCACCATCCCAAAAACAGCAAACACATAGCACGGAGGAAGCTTGTTTGAAACGTGACAAGTACATAGTAGGAATCTGTGTGTCCGAGAAGTGCGAAGGGTGTTTTGCACAGTTTTTCTCACGCGCATTGCTGAAAGCCCATGCTTTGCTCATGATGCAACGTAGGCACGCCCTGCAAAAGGAAATGTCCTTGGTTTGTGTATAGTTGGACCTCGGTTGAGTATGGCAAAAATGGTTGGGCGTACCAAGCCTCTTTGGGGGCCGAAAGAAGCGGGTACGCAGTGAACTTTTCGCTTGGGGGCCCCAGCCCAAGATGGATGAAGCGTGTTGGGGGAGCATGTTCATCCATCAACCGGTTCAATCGTATTTTTTCAGGGTCGTCTATATAATATGTCTAGGGGTTGGCAGAGGCAAGAATGCGAAGCCAACGAACGCGTGGCACCAGTCCGGCGATTAAAGAACCCGTCCGGCCATGCGGCGCCATGCGGCCATGCCATCATGCCAGTGCATGACAGTAAGGGGAGTTTAGCTGGGGAGTTCTTCTTCTTAAAGTGGGCCTTCGAGGCCTTTGCCTTCGTCTCCTTCTGCCACCTCTATCAGGCCGGTGGGACTGTTGGGAGTGTGAGTTTGACAGTAAACAACATTAAACAACTCGCTTCCCAGAGAAAAGATCAAACATAAAAGGGTTAAAGGATGTGAATGACCAAGTTGTGGTGGGCTTCTGGGAAGATACTGAAAACAAATTAAATGAGTTTGCTTTTGTTTGACGTGTCCAGTTTATGTATATTTAGCAACGCATACCTCCAAAAGCATACCGCCAAAGCATACCTCATAGTCTCCCACAATCACACATCGTGGCCCAGGAACGTCAAAAAGGTAGACTCCCAAATGTGAAGGGGGGGATAAGCTGGTATTTTCGAAGAGGGGAGTACCTTCTCAGGTGGTCTGAGGAATCTGTACCCCAAATGAGTCTCTCAACTCAAGATGTCCATTAGCCCATCCCGATGTATCGGTTTCTTATGCTTGTTCAACCTCTTGCGCCGGTGGGAGGGACTGCCCTTGACTGCGGGGAAGTAAACCATTGGTGTTTGGAGGTTTGGAAGTCGGGACGAAAGGCAATGGTCTTCGTCGACCGGCGGGCGATCGTTGAAATGAGACCACACAGACCACACAAGCAGCCTAATGAGCACCCCAAGATACTAGAGAAGGGTGCAGCTCTTGACATGCATCTCTTGAAGTATCTGGAGGTGTCTCAAGAATCCCAACAAGAAAACTATTGCTTCTTTGCTGACCATCGGAGCAATGGTGAATGGATCCTCACGAACACCCTGTTTTCTTCCAGGACCATGGCCGTGCACCAAGGCGATACACACACACATCCACTGTATGATAACTGTTTGGATTTCTGGAGAGCTGCCGCAGGTGGACTTCATTGCAGAGTCCGGGGTTTACAAGGGAGTCAGGGCGTCTCAGGGCCGCTGAAATGCCAGATCCGACCGCCGGAGATCTCAACGAAGTGTGGTTTAAAGTGAAATACTATCAGGTAGAACCACACTTGGAGCTCAACCTGATAGTTGGTAGAACCAATCTCAACATACTCCAACTCTCAGGTAGATTGGTGTAACTTGGAGCTCTTTATTGCGCAAGTGCGTAGTAAGGAAGCCCCCATCTTCTTTTCTCTATATCCATGCACCGACTGGACCTGGGCCCCATCCCCTGCGCGGTTGGGTGGACAACCCAGGTCTCCACGGAGATCTGGAGCCTCTTCGCCAAGGATCTGCCCCGGAGCCTCTTCGCTCGGAGCTCCCCTTTTCTTCGTCGGCGGTTGGGGCCCGGGTGTCACGTGTTGGGCGACCAATGGGACAAAAATCTGACATCAGAGCATTCACGAATTCATGATCTCAGACCTGCTGTTAGCAGCTAGCAATGGCTCAGGGGAGGGAGGTGATTTTTCAACTACGGAGTACACGTGAGTTGTTTTTTTTCCTTTGTGGGTCTCCCTACAGACCATGAGCTCGTTGGGTTGCTGTCCTGCACCGAAAAGTGGACCAAGCGGCTCACAATCCTCCTCGACTGCGTTTAAAGGAGGTGGCTGCGATCGACCTAGCGATTTCCGTGGAGGCGAGGGCACCAAGAATTTAGATTTGCAGACTTGGAAGTTGGGGACACACTTAAAGATTTAGACCCCCCGGTCATGGATAGAACATGATAGAGAAGTAGATGGCCACTCAACATGTATTAGTATTGGAAACCGTGCCACTATCTATTTGGGGGTCTCTATAATTAGCATAGTCAGACATGTTCAGTTCATGTACAATGACATAGTCACATTCACCCAAGTCCACCAAGCCACAGCAATCATGTATAGATGACTATGTGACTATGTGTGTATAAGGGCAAAGCAAGTCGATCTATGGACCTATGGAGCATACCAATAGAGAATTCTTGCAACATCAGCAGAGTGATTTGTGCGAGAAGGAATTTCATGCACTTGCAGGCAGTTGGTGAGACAGGATGAGACAGGATGCTTTGCTATTTTCTTTACACGAAAGTGAGACATAGATTTTGCGATGTTCTTTACCCCTCATGTTCCCTCATGTTGTGACCAGATTAGCTCTGTTGGAGAAACTCACATGGTCTTTGACACGAGCTGGCCTCACCCAGCAGGGGCGTCACGGGCTGGCCCCGACCCGGGTGCCTGGACGCAGGCAGAGTCGCGACTGAGACCACGAAGGAACGTGAAGCTGTACGCAGGTGGGAGGGCCGAGATGCCATCGGGCTGGTGAATGCTGAGGGTTGCAGAGGGTTGAACGTTATATTGAGCAAGGTGGGCTGTGGTCTGTAACTTTTGTTTCCAATATGTTCATAAGTTGTGTGTGTGTGTGTGTTTGTCAAAAAAGAGAAAGAGAGAGAGAGAGAGAGAGAGACGTCCATGGTTATTGGGTAGCCTTTAATTGTGCTATGGTGAAAGTGGAGGTCCAGCAAAAGTACCTGTTGGGGAATTAAGAATTACTTTCATGTTTCATGTGGTACCTCCTGCAGGTGCTTTTCTTTGCGTCAAGAGCACTTATAGTTCCTATATGTTCCTATATTATACAGGTGGCCATGTAGAATTAGAAGGGAAACACATCCAAAAACCGCCAAACACCAACAGGTGCCGATCCAACGGCTTTCATGTCATTTTTTACTCGATCCACTTGAGGTGGGCCAGCACCTGGCATGTTGGGTGGTCTTCGGATCCCAACATTTTTGGTTGCCCAGTTACCTGAGTTCCTCTAGGTGATCAGCTCAATCACAAGTGTCTCAGCCATCGCCAGGGTGAACCCAACACAGAACGACCAACAGTGGCCATGTGCGGCAGGTTTGAGTTTGTGCACAACATCTCTTCTATTATATAACTGTTTTGTATGGTGTTTCTTTCCCGGCACTAGGCAAACGTGTGACCCATACTAAAAGGATTCGTTTTTCACGTCCGTCACTTCCAGGAGATGGCCAAGCCCTTCTGTGGGCATGCTCAGTTGATTCAGCCGAGTGAAGAATCTCTCAGGGAGGAGTGAGCAGATGTGAGCAGTGAGTTTCTTTCGAAACGCTTGTCCGAGTGAAGCCCCTTGTGCGCGGGCACTTGTGTCGGCCCAACTTGTTTTCTTGGTGTTGGCTCTCAGGGCTTGGACCGGTCTTACCATGTCTTACTACCTCTCGCACATCGGTCCGAGTCGATGCTGGACACTCTGGTCGCATGGGGTTTCCCCAGGTGAAAAGAGATCACACATGCAGTGGCTCGAGACGGCGGTCAGCGCCGAGACAGAACAAATGAGCTAGGAGAATGCGGCCTTTGGCCTCAAAAAAACGGTGCTGCTCCTGAAAATACAGCCTTGTGGCATGATACGGCCACATGCCCTTGGCCGTGTGGAGTTAAATGAACCAGGAAAAGGTTGCGCCTTCTCATGTTTATGCAGGAATAGCAACGCCTCTCGCAGAATCTTGCACAAATATGGATGAAATCTGTAGGGACACTCACAGGCAACAAGGTCACGTGCTGTGCAAAGTAGATCCAGGACATGATTGATTTGCAAGTAAACATCCAGCACTACTCACTAGGATAGGTGTAGTTTCCCAGATCCTACTGGTTGGACTAGGCTTTTGACAGTACATGTAGGTGTTGAATCTGAAGGAGTC